AAAGCGCGTGATATATCATTTATGGTAGGTGAAAAAGTTCTCTTGAAGGTTTCGCCGATGAAGGGAATTATGAGATTCGGGAAGAAGGGCAAGTTGAGCCCAAGGTTTATAGGCCCATTTGAGGTGTTGAAACGAGTTTGGGAGGTTACTTATGAGCTTGCATTGCCTCCCAGCCTATCGGGAATTCATCCGGTTTTCCACGTATCTATACTCCGGAAGTATCATGCCGACCTATCACATATGTTAGACTTTAGCACAGTTCAGCTAGATAATAGCTTGGGTTATGAAGAGGAGCCAATTGCCATTGTTGATAAACAGGTTCGCCAGTTGAGGTCCAAGAGGATTTCTACAGTAAAAGTCCAGTGGAGGGGCCAACCAGTCGGTGAAGCGACTTGAGAGGCCGAGGAAGGCATGCAAAGCAGATATCCATACTTATTCAGCACTCCAGGTATAATTCTAAACCCATTCGAGGACGAACGTTTGTCTAAGAGGTGGAGAATGTAATGACCCAACCGGTCATTTTAACTTTTAGAACCCCGTTCCCTAAACCCGTATGTGCTTGTAATGATTTATGACTTGCGGGGATGGTTGGTTCGGGATTTGGAAGTGTTTGGGGTGAAACCGGAACACTTGGTTCCTTAAGTTGGCCTTAAAGTGCTAAGTTTGACTTCGGTCAACATTTTGAGAAAACGACCCCGGAATAGAATTTTGATGATTCCAACAGCTCCGTATGGTGATTTTGGACTTAGGAGCGTGTTCGGAACCTTTGGAAGTCCGTAGTTAAATTAGGCTTGAAATGGCTAAAAACAAGAATTTAAGTTTGAAGTTTGACCGATGAGTTGACTTTTTGATACTGAAGTCGGAATCCAGTTCCGAAAATTTTCATAGCTCCGTTATGTCATTTATGACTTGTGTGTAAAATTTGAGATCAATCGGAGTTGATTTGATAGGTTCCGACATCAAATGTAGAAGTTGAAAACTCTTAGTTTTATTAAGCTTGAATTGGGGTATGATTCACGGTTTTAGCATTGTTTGATGTGATTTAGAGGTTCGACTAAGTTTGTATGATGTTTTAGAACTTTTTGGTATATTTGGTTGAGGTCCCGAGGGCCTCGGGTGAGTTTCGGATGGTTAACGGATCAAATGTTAGACTTAAAAAAGCTGCTGCAATTTTTCCTTCTGCTTAATATCCTGGGTTGTGATCGAGCCCCAGATCGAATCCAGATATCGAGCCCCAGATCGAACCTAGAAATCGAGCCCATGATCAAGGCCTGAGTCGAAGCCAGGGGCAAGGCTCAGTATCAAAGGCACAATCGAAGGTCCAGCTCGAGGGCCATGATCGAAGGCAAGGCTCGAGGGCCAGGATCAAGACCCAAGATCGAACTTGATCGAGGCCATGATCGAGGCCATGACTAAATCCCAGGCTCGAGGGCCACAATCGAGGCCCAATTTCCTAAGGCTGCCTGGGTATTTTATAAAAGAGGACATTCGTCCCATTTGCCATTTTTGACGAACTTGAGCTTGAGCAGAGACGACTTTTGTCAGTGTTTTAAGGGAAAAACATTGGGGTAAGTGATTCTAACTCGGATTTGGTCTACATATACAAGTATATCATTGTTTTCACCATAAATTAGTGTTTTGAGATTTAAATTTGGAAAATTTTTATTAATCTCATAGAAACAATTTTTTTTGAGATTTCGGTATTGATTCGGAGTCGGATTTGAGTGAAACTAGTATGGTTGGACTCGTAATTGAATGGCTTGTCGGATTTCGTAACTTTTGCCGGATTCCGAGATGTGGTCCCCATTGACAAAATTTTAATTAGTTTTGGGATTTTTATTAAAAATGTAGTATTTTCTTATGGAATTGATTTCTATAAATTTTAGTGATTGTATCGAATTATTTTGGCTAGATTCGAGCCAGACAGAGTTGGATAATCGTGGAAAAGGCCTTATAGTGGATTAAATTGGAGCAAGACGAGGTAAGTCTCTTGTCTAATCTTGTGAGGGGGAAATTACCTCATAGGTAATTAAAATTAAATAATTGTTGCTAATTGTGGGGGCTACGTATGCACGAAGTGATGAGAGTCCGTGCGTAGCTACTACTAATGCTAAAGTCCGGGTAGTTCAAAAATTATTTTTCAACACAACTTCAAAAACTATTTTTTCAAGTTTCAATCAAATTTATGTCGAAATGCTAACTTTATGTTTTAATTAGTTTTCCAAAATTGTGTAGAGGTAAAAAAGGATAAACTTTCAAAACTTAAACAATAAAGATTTTAGAAAGTTAAATGTAGTTTACTACGTTGACTTACTTAAATAAGAAAAAAGGAAAACATTAAAAGAAAAAAGATCAATACTGAGCCATTATTTAATATTGGGCAAAGATCACTTTAGCATGCGTCATAAACTATTTATATTCGTTAGCGTAAAAGTATATAAAATATATATTTTTCGGCTATTATTTTGAGAGCGGTTATACAGTGTTATTTTTTTATTAACATTATTAGCGCGGGCTCTTCTGAACTCGTGAGTCGTGACTACTTAATCCATAACTTGTTTTGATATGCAATTGAAAAAATAAATGCAATTAATATTTTTAATATAAAAAGTATGAAAGAGTAATATTGAATTTTGTGAACGTAATAATTATCCCGCTCTTTTCTTCTAAGGTAAAAAGGTTTTTTCACTTAAGAATAAGAGGAGATTCTGTCGCTCTCTTGACAATCTCTTTCTGATTACATTCGAAATAATTTTCTCTTATTTTAGGTGTATAAAACTTACCGTTGTTCATCAAAACGCATTTCATTTCTAATCTTACAAAATCTTTCTCGTAGTTATTGTCAAACTTGGAGTACAACTCTCTATCGATAACCGGAGATTCATAGATTTTTCAATTTTGGTGGGTTTGATAAGAAGATTTACTTTCCTGGTGAGATTTTCATTGTTAATTTTGCTTGATTTTACTTGTACAATGTGTTATCTATGTATTTGATAATGTATGCAATGAAATTGAATAAAATCAGCATTGAGAATGAATCACAAAAAAACATTAGGTAAAAAGGTTCATTTCAATTCTCTTGTTTCAATTTATGTGCTGAAATGCTATATGACACACTAAATCTGCATATTAGTTTCAATAGATTGATTAAGGTATCTTTTTATTTTTAGATATCAAATAATTCGACTGATGTTTTTCACTTGGACTTATAAGTTGCTTGACCTGCCTATGTTTGACTATGTTTAGCGCTTTACATATTTATAGGTCAAAATTAACAGCCAAAACTTTGACTTTATATAACAAAAAAAAAATGATAGTAATTAGGTGGAGTTTGAAACTTAGCGATGTATAAATTTTAAAACAATTATTAGGTCAGATTATAAGTACATCTTCACATATCCAAATAAAAAGGTAATGCATTCGACTAAACATGAGGTTTAAAATATTAATTTGGCTTAAACATCATATTAATGGTAAGTGAAAAATATAAAAATAATAGGCAAAAAGTTCGTTTGATAAAGAAAATTTAACATCAACATTTAGAATTTGACTAGCTAAATGAATTTGAATTCTTAAAGGTGGGTTGCTCTTAAAGGTGACTAGCTAAAATATTAAACATACTGTATCAAATATTTTAGACGACAAGGTGGGTTGCTCTGATGGTAAGCACCCTCCACTTCCAACCAAAAGGTTGTGAGTTCGAGTCACCTCAAGAGAAAGGTGGGGAGTTCTTGGAGGGAATGATGCCGAGGGTCTATTGGAAACAACCTCTCTACCCCAGGGTAGGGGTAAGGTCTGCGTACACACTACCCTCCCCAGACCCTACTAGTGGGATTATACTGGGTTGTTGTTGTTGGAATGATGCCGAGGGTCTATTGGAAACAACCTCTCTACCCCAGGGTAGGGGTAAGGTCTGCGTACACACTACCCTCCCCAGACCCTACTAGTGGGATTATACTGGGTTGTTGTTGTTGGAATGATGCCGAGGGTCTATTGGAAACAGCTTCTCTACCCCAGGGTAGGGGTAAGGGTTGTTGTTGTTGTATCAAATATTTTAGACTAAATCAAAATGGAGAGAATGTCATATATATTAAACTGAATAGAGCAATTTATTAATATGGATATTTATGGAAATTGGATAATTGATTGGTCTGGTACACACGCAGAACTTACTCACCACTCCCAAAATCCACTCTTCAATTGTACTATATCCCAAGGGTACAAGTAAATCAAAAGGCAACAAAATGAATCAAAATAGAGCAACAAACTGTAAACAATTTAATTGTGCAACACATTTTTCCATACTTGGATTGAATTCGAGAAATAAGAATACCCAAACTGAACTTTAATTTACCAATTTACGCAAAATTTTGATTAACATGTTGACACTAATTATAGTCACTATAATATAGTGTCGTAATTTGAGCAGGACAGCTACTCTCTCTTTCTACCTCTTCAGTTACCATTCCAATAAAATTTGCATCAATTGCATTTATAAAAACAAGAATCATTGTGAAAAGAGTAACAAATCACCATTTATTATGTTTCATGCATGCATTTCTTATTCTGGAAAATTTTGCATAAAACAACTGTTATTTGACCTCCTTATGAGTTGTTTCCTTTTGTTTCTTGTCAAAGGCAGAAGGAAAAAGGAAAAGAAGTCAAAAGAGCTTTTTATATACCTGAAAAAATGGTTAGAAGATCAAGAAAACAGAAGAAACAGAAAAGCAGTTCTAGTTCTTCTTGGAGTCCAGAATCTTCAGACAGTAGCAGTGACTTGCATTATAGTGCAAAGTTACCAAAGAAAAAGGCAAAAAAAGACATTTTGGCTAACCCCATAAAAGGCTATCTCAGTGAAGATGACACAAATCCTGAAAGTTCTTCAATGAGGACAAGAAGAAAACGAAAGTGCCAATCGAAAAAGGAGCAATATGTTATAGATGAACCATCTTCATCTGAGAATAATCAAAGTTCTGATGTTTCAAGTGAGGAAAAGTTTAAATGGGGAAGAAGAAAAAGAGCAACGAGAGGTAGAACTAGGAATTCAAGAAAAGGAAATGGCCAAAGACAGAGGAGAACAACAATACTTTCATGGCTAATAGATTGTAAGGTAATTCAAGAAAATGCAAAAGTTTTTGTCATGGAAGAAGGGGAGCCAAAAACAAAGCAGGGGAAAATAAGGAAAGAAGGCATACTTTGTTCATGTTGCTATAATGTTTTCACAGTAGCAGGCTTTTATACTCATGCTGGCGGCAACAACAACAACAACATACCTAGTGTAGTCACACAAGTTGGGTCTGGGGAGGGTAGAGTGTACGCAGACTTTAACCCTACCTATAAGAAGGCAGAGAAGCTGTTTCCGGTAGACCCTCGGCTCAGTACTCATGCTGGAGGAACATCTAGTAAACCTTATGAGAAAATTTTCATTGCTGAAACATGCTCTTCTCTCTTGTCTTGCATGATTCAAGCTTGGGATCTTCCAGAAGAACGTAATTATCGTCGATTTAATTTGATCGAAAACAAGGAGGATGCTAGTGACTCTTCTGATGATGCTTGTATGATTTGTGCTGATGGAGGTGATCTAATATGTTGTGACAAATGCAGCACTACATATCATTATGTTAAGTGCTTGGGACTAGAGGTAACAAAATCAAACTCTTTTATTACATAGTTATATCTAAAGGGCAGTCCGGTGCACTGAGCTCCCACTATGTGCAGGGTTCGAGGACGGGTTGGATCATATTGAATCTAATGATGCAACCTTTTTTTCTATAAGAGGTTGTTTCCATATATTGAACCCGTGACCTTCTGGTCACATGACAACAACACTTTAGTATTGCGACAAGGCTCCCCTTCACTACATAGTTATCTTGGGGTTAAATCATATTGAAACTGATAGTTTCTGTATTGCAGGAGGTTCCTAAAGGGTCGTGGTATTGCTCATTTTGTGTCTGCAAATTCTGTGGTGATCCTGCTAATGAAAATGATTATTTGCTGAAATGTTCTCAGTGTGAGAAAAAATGTAAGAAATGTTTTCTAGTTCCTGTCTGTACTCTTTTGAGTTTCTTGTTCCATGGTACAAACTCTTTTCCTCTAGGAATTGCAACTTAAAATAAAACAATATCCCTTATTCTGCAGATCATTGGGAGTGCCATCTAGCCAGAGTGAAAATCAGCATAGACATTAACAACCACCCACAAGGCACATTCTGTGACAATAGCTGCAATGAGGTAATACTCTCAATATCATAAAGCAGTTAATTTTGATAGAGTTGTACTTTTGAAACTTTATTTTTTTCTATAACGGTGGTGTCTAAGTACGTTTACCTCCCACCAGCACAGGCAGCGGTAGATTTAGGGGGCGGAAGAACCCCCTTCGCCGTAAAATTACAGTATACATATAACGCAAAATCCATTTTGTGCCACTATATATTATATTTTGAATCCCCTGACACAGCCCAAAAGCATCGCTCAATGGTCAAGGGGCTTCAAAACCTTTGTGAGTTTGCTAGTTCCCACTGGCCACAATTTCTTTTAATTTTTTCTCTTTTGAACCCCCTTAGCGGAAATCCTGCCTCCGCCACCGAGCACATGTATTGAATAACTCTGCCCACTAAGGCTTGGACATATTAGAAGAAATCACCTATCATTTTCTGTCTCTATATTAGACTTAGAAATACACATTGACCTTGTGCTTATAAAGGACTAATAGTCTTATTAGTTGCTAATGATAACTAAGATGCTTTTGAAATGAATCATAATTGTGAAGGTCTATGATAATTTGGAGAGGAGCATTGTTGGTGTTGAACATGAGCTCGAAGAAAGCTACAAATGGACTGTACTTAAGAACACAGATGATGGCTCTGGGATTAATATAGAAGACGATTATCAAAGAACTGTATGCCATTCCAAGCTAGCCGTGGCACGAAGACTTATGGAAGACTGTTTTGAGCAAATTACAGACAGACATACTAGAATTGATGTCATTAAAAGTGTGGTCTACAACTGTGGGTAATTTACAGTCTCTCATCATATATTGCACAAAGGATATATAAAATGTTTAATTCTTTCTATGTTCTAATGAAACATAGAAAGAAGTCACAGGTTGGCGTAACTGGTAAAGCTGTTGCCATGTGAACAGAAGGTTACGGGTTCAGTGGAAACAGCCTCCTGCAGAAATGCAGGACAAGGTTGCGTACAATAGATCCTTGTGGTCCGGCCCTTCCCGGGACCCCGCGCATAGAGGAGCTTAGTGCACCGGGCTGCCTTTTTTATATTCTAATGAAAACTTCTTGCAGGTCAAATTTTAACAGGGTGAATTTCAGGGGTTTTTACACTATTATTTTAGAAAAGAATGAGGAAATCATTTCTGCAGCATCCATAAGGTATATTATATATCTCTCTTAAACCAGATTTAGCATCAGATTGTCATAAGTATGCTTTTTTTGAGCTAAACATCTAGTTAATATTCTAAGGATCCATGAAACAAAGCTTGCTGAAATGCCCTTCATTGCAACAAACAAGGAATATAGGAGAAAAGGAATGTGCAGAGAGCTTATGGTTACCATTGAATCAGTAAGAATTTTATCTCAATTTTATACTATATCGATATGTTTTAACATATCGTAGCTGGTAACTTGTCTTATTTTCAAGTTATTATTTATTCTCACTTTTTATGGACGGCTAGCAATAGCTGAGAAGTACTTTGAGCTGATGATCTTATTTGATGCAGGTCCTTCACTATTTGAAGGTAGAAAAGCTGGTAATTCCATCAGTATCAGAACGCATAGGCGCCTGGGTTGCTAATTATAGTTTTCATAAAGTCAAATCACCACTACCAGAAGAGATGAAGCTGCACAATACATTGATGTTCCATGATTCAACGAGATTGCAAAAAGATCTCATTTCATCTTCTTTGGCTAGGACATGTCGAGCTAATTCTCGAGGTTTTTCCCCTCCCAACTAATCCTCCTCCGTCCTACCATAAATATAAAAAAATTATGGCTAATCTTGACTTAATAAAGCGGAACATATGTTTAAGGATTCATATAACCGATCCTGACTTATTTGGAACTGAGCCTGATTCTTGTTGTTGCAGCCAAAGAGACACAAAGTTCCCCGACGAAATCTGGAAAGGCAAGACCCTTTGACTTGAATGTTGAAGCATCTCCAGAGGATAAGGACTGCTAGTTGAATGGCATAGCCAAAGTCACTATAGTTCCTATATTTATGCTGAGCATTTCAAATTTTGAACTACGTGGAAGCAGTCATTAATGATTGCATTAGTGTAGGCTATCTACATCACACTCTTTGGTGTGTGGCCAATCCCCGGATCCTGTGTAGACGCGGAATACTTTGTGCATCGGGCTGACTTTTATTTCAAATTTTGAACTGATCTCTTAGCTAGACATTAACATATCATAGGTCATGCCTATATACTATTTTTATTAAGACTGCTGTACTCTATATGTACTAGATTGTCGTGATCATTGTAATGCTCATATTTATTTGTACTAGAGTTTCAAGATCATTGACATGCGGATGTTTTATTTATTGTTTCATTCTGTTGGTTGAGATTCGTAGTGTTTATTTGCTTAAACATGAATTTTGATTAATGAACATTTTCCAAATAAACTTAGTGCCGAAGAATCCTAGAGATCTTTGCTATTCGGCACATTGGTGGCAACAAGAAACCAATGGCCTCGACAATGCAATAGATAGTACCATTTTTCTTTTCTTAAATCTCTCGCAAAAAGGACACCTCAAATTTCTGTATATATTAAGTAGTTGGGGCCATAAGGGGTTGTATGCACAGAGACACAAAACATGTCAAGTCACAAATCTCTAGTCTATAGCGCGTACTTTATTGCACAACAATAGTCTAATTACAATGGCACCTAGAATTGAAGAAGAACATGTTGAGACACTTTCAATGAACGGCAACAAAATGCAAGTCAAAGATTTCATATGGTCTGAGGAAGAATGGCCTGCACTAAAGCATGATGATTTCGGAGATGTAATTAGCGATATTCCAGTGATTAGTCTTAATGGTATTTGGGAGAATCAAGAACTATACGAAAATGTCTGCCAAGATATGGTGAAAGCAAGCGAAAAATGGGGATTCTTTAAGCTTGTGGATCATGGGGTACCTAGTGAGATCGTTGAGAATTATACCAGTCGCTTGCACGAGCTTTTTGATCTTCCGATGGAACAAAAGCTCCAAGGTGGCAGAACATCAAGCTTGCCGTTGGGGTATTACGCTTCAAACCCTGAGTATGAGCAAAACTTGCCTTGGGCTGAAATCTTGCAGCTGCTTCAGTCACCTGAAATGGTTGTCCAATTCGCAAAAAAGGTCTACGGTGACCAATACCACCCATTTAGGTACACATACAACACTTATATCATCAATCAGTCCCCTACTGTGCGAGCTTGATTCATTTTGATGAGACAAGCACGTGAAAATTTCTTTTCAAGAAAGGTGGCAGTAAAATGTGAAATTTGAATATAGGACCTCTACCTACTCTAATTAATACCATGTTAAATTGTGTGACCAGCTCATCTAAGTTTAAGTTGCTAGAGAGAGTAAACTTTAATTTACTTAACTAGTCTTACCAAAAATGCTGATTTTGCTGGTTTTGATTCTGATAAACTGAACAGCAATGCAATGATAGAGTACATGAAAGAGATGGACAAGCTAGGAATGATTATAATGGAGATGTTGGCTCATGGATTAGGTCTAGCAGATGACTTCTTCAGCAAAAACTTTGAAGAAAAGGAGGCTACTATATTCAGGATAAGCAAATATCCCCTTTGTCCCCTCCCAGAGAAGATAGTAGGAATAGGGATCCATTCAGATCCACAAACCTTAACCATATTGTATCAAGACCATGTTGGTGGCCTTCAAATCCTCAAGGATGACAAACAATGGATTGGAGTTCGCCCTCTTCCCAATTCATTTGTCATCAATATTGGTGACACCCTTGAGGTCATTCTCTCTCTCAAAAAAAAAAAAACATAATTACTACAATGATCAGGCTGCAATTTTCTTAATGTATGTTTGGTATGAAGGAAAACATTTTCCCAGAACATTCTGTCATACCAAACACACATGTTTTTGTGTATTTTCAAGAAAGTATTGAACCTTTATTTTTCTTGCAGGCTTGGACAAATGGAAGGTTAAAGAGTGTTATACACAGGGCAGTGGTGAATAAGGAAAAGCAAAGGCTATCAATGGCATATTTCTTGAATCCAACAAGCAGTGCAACAATTGAATGCCCTCCTCAGCTTATTGATCCGGTTTCCAATCCTAGAAAATATGTATCTTTTACGTGGGCTGAGCTGCGGCATCATCTTTTGACTACTAGGAGGGTTAGGGGCAAAGCTGTTGCCATCAATAAATTCCTTATATCTAGTTGAGACTCTAGAATCCTTCATCATTTTCAAATCTATAGACGCGATCTGCATTCTCGACTATGTGAATATACGTTAGTGTAAATGAAAAAGAAGTCTTGTGAAGTCTCATTATGATGGTAAGATTTGAACCCAGGATATCTCTCTGTTCAAACTTTGGATACCATATTGAAGTATGTACGGTGAATAAAAGTCTTGAGTTTGTTTATTAAATAAACATCACGAGTTCAAACAGACATAACAGCGGTTCATTTGTGAACATATGGATTCAGTTACACCTCTACTATTATTAGTCTTACTAGCTCACTGTGCGTTGCACTACTAATGTAGTCAATTCAGGAAAAACAAAATCACTGTCTATTTCTGAAGCAATTCCTGAATGACTATCACTAATGCAACTTGACACTAACTATAAACAGGCACGTGTGCAGGGAAATACACGTTACAAGATGAGAATCTATCGCTATAAGATCCTTAGAGAGAAAAGGATCATCCAACATTGGATAAACCACTTCTGCAATATGCTCTGGACATCGTAGCAACTAGACACTAACACAAGTAGGCACAAGAGCAGGGCAATAAAACTTACAAGTTTAAAAGCTACCATAAGATCCTTAAAAGAGACGGATCATCCAAACTTTGACAGCCACTTCTACTGATTTCGCTCTATTTCAATGCACTCCATGATAAGAATTTGACACAGTGCCACTGCTGACATGTTAGTGGAATAGTTGTACCATATAAAGTCACTGCTTATTACGGAATCAATGAAGTAAGGATCCATGTGTTGTAATATCAGGAAGATCAGAACTAACAGAGAACTTCAACCATCTCTTCTTCTCAATAAACTTAAGACATGGTTGCATCACCAACCCAATTGCAACGGCAATGAGGCTTACAACCATCACTTTGATCGAAGAGAAGGCCAAAACGACACATATGAGAATGGCTGGAGGTATACACAACAGGATTGCTCCAACAGTTCCCCCTGGTATCTTGAATGGACGTTGTGCATTGGGGCATTTTATCCTTAACCATACAAATGCAATAAATTCCAAGATCATTCCGAAGCAATACAAGAAATTTTCTGCTGCTACTATCTCCTGAAAACTCAGCCATGAGAGCAAAACCACACCAGAAGCTGAGAAGAGAATCCCAAATAAAGGAGTTCCATAACGAGATCTCTTCGCGAAGAACTCAGGGAGCATCCCCCTCTCCGCCATACCAAGTAACTGGAAAGAGTCGCTGCTCATCTCGGCTACAAACATCCCCATATTTGACATTGCAGCAGCCCCTTGAATCCAAACTCTAAGCCAGACTCCACCCAGCATTTTCGCAATATCAGAGAAATAGCCGTCAGTCCACAAGTCACGCTGGAGGGGAACAGCTCCAGTACCAATCAATAAAGGGAAAAAGTAAGACAGAACGACTAGAATCACGGCATAAAACAAAGCCTTGGGCAGAGTCTTCTTTGGGTTATGTACTTCTCCAGCAAGAGTACTTATCGAGTCCCAATAATTCAGATTCCAGAAGAGAGTATTCAGATACAAGTTCCAATCAACACTGCGTACATCAGCCACTAACCATCTTTCGGGCCTTAATTTGGGAATCGAAATGAGCCCCATAACCACAAAAGGAAGAATTGACAATATACCAAGCGAAACAGCAGCCCATCCAACAATAGTTAACCCTCTGTAATTCATGAAAGTGAGAACCACGGTAAGGGCCAAAACAGCTATAGTTCTAGGAAGCCCACCACCTAATGCAGGGATAGCTGATTTCAGGTAATCTAAGAACATAACGGGGTAAAGCGCATTGTCAATGACTCCACTCAGCCATTTCATCCAACCTTGTTGAAAGCCCCAATATGGACCTAAAGCAGATGAAACCCACACAACATAACCACCATTTTCAGGGAACATGGTGCCCATTTCAGCTGTAATCAATGCCTCTGGGATACTCCATATGAATGGGAAAATCAAGAAACCCAAAAGAGCAAGAAGAGGACCAGCTGCCTGCACAGTGTCCTCAACACCAAAAGGACCACCAGAAACCTCATAGAAAATGAGGAAAACTAAAGGCACGACTGAAACTTTTCTAGCATTATTTGCTCTGGGAGATGGAACCTCATTAATCCCTATGTACTCTGCACCATTGAAATCTCCCATTGGAATTGCAGTTTCTCTATGAGCTGAAACCCTCAATTTCTGCATTTTCCAACAAATTTCATGTTTAACAGAAAACAATCACAGCACACATACTCATCATACTTCAACCAACACAGCACAAGAATCACCACACACGGGTGAGTACAATAAATGCAATTAAACTTACCAAAACAATAGTAAAACAATCAATAATGACAAAATCGCATAATGGGTCGTGATAAATGTATCTATACATCAACATAGAGAGCAAAAATTTAAATCTTGAAAAATCTTGAAAATGAAAAAAGCTTCCCATCTACCTATTGTGCATGCATCAGATCCGAGCTAAGGCAAAAGATATCAAAAGTCAAATCTACAGCAAGCAGTATAATAGAAAAATAAAAGATAAAGATGGAGATAGGTAAAGAGAATAAGACCATGAAAGAAAGGTACTTCAATTGGAAAATTCCAGCATTCTTGCCTTGCCCTCAAAGTTAACACAAAGCCAAAGCTTTTAATGCCCAGGGCAGATAGATCGAAGGTATCGCTCTTGACACCTGAGTATTTGCAATGCAAGTATGCAACTGAGAGGAGAGGGGGGTAGGTGTAAGTGTCACTTACGTAGCACTACACTACTGCACCAACTAAATGCCAAGTGAAAGCCCGTTTTTTTCTACTTAAGGATCTATTTCTACTTTTAAAAGAGAATTTTAATCATATTCAATATTCCTTAAGAAAAGTGTATTATAAAAACTAATCGCCTGTATATGGTGTTAAAATAAAAAGGATAGAGAGAAATGTTATATCAACAATTTCTGATATTATCGAGATGTTTGGAGATAAACTTATTCTCCATTCCTGGACCGCAAACTTATATGGATAGATGTTAAAAATAAATTTTTTAATGAAGTTAATTGGAAAAATACTAACTCTCTACACAGAATTAAAATTTCGATATGCAAGTGGATTGTCCGGGATTCGAACCCGGAACTAGTCGGAGAAAACCAGCCATAAATCATAATATATAGCTAACTAAAGTTCACAAATCACAATAATACTAGGATTCGAGTGATCAAATCATGCTCAAAAAGTTCTAACTTGAACAAATTAAAATATAATGTAAGTTTGTTTTTAAATTCTGAGTTAAAATCTTAGCAAGTAGTGTATTATCATCTTGCTTACCAATAATGCACTAATATAATTATGTGTAAACACCAAATATCAATAAAAAAAATTCTTTTATCAAAATGTTTCCTAAACTAAGAAATAAAAAAGGAAGAGAGCAATATCTTTTATATTTTTTTCCAGCAAGACAGCGACATCTATGTTGGAGTTTTAAGCAAAATAAACGTGGAATGTGACCTGCTGGCGCACTATGCGAATAGCCTCACCTGCCCGTTTGACTTATTGCTATCATAGACTTGCTTTTCAATTAAAGCGACTTCATAACCAAAAGAAAGGATTGGAATCGACCCATTTGTGGTAGATTACTAGATTAGGACAAGATTGGGCCACGCTAGAACCCGGGGGACTTGGACCAATCACTCCCATTCGGGAACCTAGGCCCGATAACTATACATAAGGATGTGTATCTTGGGAAAACTACCCTATATACCTACATAATCAAACAGTATTACCCGTATTTACCCATTTTAAAAGTAATTATATAAAATACATATTCTATTACAACTAATTACTCGCCCAATCTAATACATAAGTTGTCACGACCCAAAATCCATTAAGGTCGTGATGGTGCCGGACATCACTGTCAGGCAAGCCAACAATAATTACTTAATTTGGTTCTCATCTTAATATTTTAGAAATCATATTTTTCTTCAATTAAACAGTAAAAGATGGAATGTACAGTGTAAATAATAATATTTTTAATAATTTCAATACAGAACAACCCATAATCACCCCCAAAACCTGGTGTCACAAGTATATGAGCATCAACTAAGAAGTAAATATAAAGTACAACATATGTCTGGATTACAACTTAGACAGAAAAAATATAAATACTCTGAGGGAGACTCTGTTGGCTGCGGGTCGTAATATGGAATGCAACTCACGTAAGTCCTCGCGTGCATACACGCCTCTGCTCTCACAAGGCCACTAGTCACATATGTACCTACACAAAAATGTGCAGCAAGTGTAGTATGAGTACGTAATCAACGTGTACCCAGTAAGTATCTAGCCTAACCCCGGAGAAGTTGCGACGAGGGGTCAACATCGACATTCACTAGTGGTCCAATAATATCAAGTATAGTAAAGAGGTAAGTAAATATGAGGCAGAGTAAATAAGTGAGATAAACAAGTATGAATCAGGTGGTACAAATCCCCCTCTTTACGAAGAACACAAGCTCTCCACTAGAAATTTCCTCCTTTACCGGAGCATATATATATATAGATATAGTGGATCTCATCAGATAGATTGTCATAACTCAAATCAGGAAAACTCACAGATTACACTAGCTTCTTGCCAAAGATTACGCACGATTCCATGAGGATATGATATAGGAAATGCCGAGGCGTACGGCCCGATCCAACATAAAAATTTAAAAAGTGCACTGCCGAGGGTCGAACGGCCCGAACCATAGATACATCTATTAAACTACTGAGGCGAACAACCCGCTCTCATGAGAGTGTGGTACATAAATCCTGCCCAGACAATCGGCCCGATCCCATAAGAGTGAAATACATAATCCTGCCGAGGCGAATGGCCCGATCCCATAAGAGTGNGTAAGTCTATTCTCAAGTAGGAATGTAAAACATAGGAATTTAATAGGCGAGAAAATGCTAGCACCCATCAACATACAACACCTAGGAGTATTTTCTCCTCACAGAGTTAGACATGAGACT